GGAAGTAATGATAATCACTGGGTCTCCTTCCTCGCAATCCCTTCCTGCCTTGGTTTACCTAAACACCAGAAGGCACCCCTGTAGGACATGGCATGCCACAACCCCCTTCCCGACTCTCCATCCTGTCAGGATTTGGGGCGCGCACACACATGTGTGGTGTGTGTTTTTTTTTAAGCTGGTAGGTCTGAGATTCCAACTGTAGTCGGCCATACGGGATCTGGTTTCCTTAACCTCTCCTAACTAGGTTATGGGGCCAATTCAATTTTTTTTTTTTTGAGAGAGATTTTTGCTTTAAGGTGTGAACACTTGCAAAGAGAGACAGAAAGCAAGAAATCAACCCCCCACCCCCCCAGGGGGATGGCCATGCCACAATCCCTTCTCTTCCATTCTCCTCTTGAGATTTTGGGTACACATGCACATTTGCCCGGTGTAAATTTCCAGCCACCAGGTCTGGGACTTGAACTGTGGTTGACTACGTGGGAATCTGGCAATGTAATCATTACACCATCTGGTGGTCTCTCCCCTCAATATATTTTTTAAAAATAGCTTTTATTATAGAAATCCTCAAACATAACAAAAGGGGAGAAAAATGTGTTATAATGGGCTCTTGTTACCTCTACTGGCTTCAGCAATTGTGACCGTCTCCTAGCAGCATCCTCTGTGACCTGTAACTGCTCCCTGAGCTTCGGTCTTTCCTCCGCATGGACCCGAGGCCCACCTTTCTGCTGTTTATGTCAGGTTTTCCTTTCCATCAGTACATATTTTAAGCTTAAGTAAATATCTATTTAAAAGAAAACATGATTTAACTGTGATAAAAAGGAGAGCCAGGATCACTTGCCATATATAGAAGATAACTGTAAAAATAAATACAACAAAAATGAATAAATACATGCATAAATACAACAAAAATGTTATTAAATACTGTCAGATACTGTTGACTACCAGCTTCTGCTCATTCTGTTAAAAAGAGGGAGTCCTCAGCAAGTCTCTCTCTCTCTTTTATTTTTGTTTTCTTTTGCCAGAGGATGTACACGCTTGCTAGAGAGAGGGACAGAGAGAGACCACGCATGCGAGAACGTGTCTCTCATGGGGGATGGTCATGCTACAATCCCTCCTCCTCCATTTTCCTCTAAGGATTTCTGGCATGCCCCAGCGTATGTTCCAAGCTACCAGGTCTGAAATTCAAACTGTGCAACTGGCCATGTAAGATCCAGCCCTCTTAACCTGCATGCCATTGGCTGGCCTAAAGTGCAGGCGTTTGATAGATGTAATTAATGTTCAAAATCAGTTGACTTTAAGTAAATGAATTTATTATAGATGATCTGTGTGGACCTAAGCCAATCCACTGAAAGACTAGAAGAGCAGAGCTGCGGAAGAAGAAATCTCACTCGGGGACAGCAGCTTCATTGTCTGCCCAAATTTCCAGTCCGCCTCCCCGACGGCCTTGGATTTTCCTAGTCAGCCCCACAATCAGGTAAGCCAATAACCTGCGATAGAGCCCTTGCCAAGTGTCTCCTCTCGGTTTTGTTTCTCTGGTATGACCCTGTCCCATGTAGTAGCCTAGACATTGTATTCTGCAGCTGGAGGGGGAGCTGAAGCTGCGTTTCCACCCCTGTAGTTTTGCTTCTTCCTTACCCCCACTGAGAATGTCCACTTCCACAAGGCCTCTTTTCAAGTCTCACATTGTGTCTTCAAGGTCCAACCTGAGTCGCTGACTCCATGAAGCCTTCTCAGCTTCCTTGTATCTGTCTGAGCTCCTTCCTCTAAGTTTAGACAGTGTTACAGGTGATCGCTCCTCTGGTCTTCAGCCCAACTCGTCTTTTTTTTTTTTTTAATTGCCACAGAACATGCTTGTGTCCAGCATGTGTCTCTCTCTTTTCTTTTTTCAAGAGAGATTTTTGCTATAGGGCATGTGACTCACTGGAGAGACAGAGAGAGAGTGAGAAATCAACCACAATCCCTTCTCCTCCATTCTCCTCTAGGGACCATGTGTGCACGCGTGCAAGCACACGATGGCGGTACTGAAGCTCCAACAGTGTAAGCGGAGCATCTCTGGTTTTCTGACGCATTTCACAATTTCTGTCCCTCCACACATGTCAACATTTTCATGGCATGAAACATCTCCACCCATCTGGGACTCAGACATATCCTAGAATAACTCAAGGGGGCCTTTTGAATTGGGTCTCAAAACAGGGAACAGAGAGGCTGAAGAAAGGCCTTGATGTCCAGTTCCGAGGTCAGACTTCCACTGTCTCCACTTTCCCAACCTTCAAAAGCAGGGATTCGAAGTCTCCTCTGCTTCCATCCAGGGACAACCTGATGGAACAGAATGTCAAAGGATCTGAGAGGAAGACAGACCTTAAGTAGAGGAGGAGAAACGTGGAGGCTAGAAACGAGCGTGGCTGGAGGGGACAGTCCATGGAAGAACGACCGCGACAGTCAGAGGTGCAAGCCCACGTGAGCCTGGGAAAGAGATGCCAGGTCTTGGACTAGCCGGTAGGGCAGGGTGACTGCAGGGCCTCATGCAAAGGACACGCTGTTGTCAGGTGCACGGTGGGAACCTAAAGCAAGGAACCCTGCGCCCACTCCCACACCTGAGGGAGCAGGTGACTGGCCAGCCCCCACCCATCTCTCCGTGCTGAGCTGCACCTTCGCAGAGGATGGGGATCACACGCCCAGGAGAGATGGCGGTGTTTTCCTTTAGCTCAAAGGATCGCAGGGCTCTTCACACACAAGGAGCCCTGTCAGCAACTCACTAGGGAGGCCCAGGGAGCCTCAGGCACAGACCCATGAGAAAGTGAGTTTCTCCTCTGGCTCCCATCCTTTTCTCACCTCCCCTGAGGACAAGAAGAATGTCCATTTCCTGGGAAGAGAAAGCAGAGGGCACAGGCTGCTGCCATAGCTTGGTGACTTCCTGGATTAAAACTCTTTCTCCAGGACAGCCTGAGATAGCAGATCGGAGCTCTGACCTTTCCTGGGAGGTGGAGTGATTCTGCCAGAGGCATGCAGTGTGGCTGGGGGTGACAGGGAGGAAGGAGGGGCCGAAACAGACTCACATCCTCATAGCTCTGCTGGATACACTGAGCCTGTTGGCATCTTTCCCCTCATTGAAGTGCTCTGGACCCTCCTGTAGCTGGGTCCAGGCTGAAATCCCATAGCAACAGCAAGACAGGCCGGCGGTGATGCAGTTCAAGCCACCAGGTCCAAGACTCGAACTATGCCGCCAGCCGTGTTGGATCCAGCTGCCTTAACCTCTAAGCTAAGGGCTGGCCCGCACCCTATAGCTTTTTTGGAGAGGTTTTCGCTACAGGGTGCGTGTGCTCGCCAGACAGACAGAGAGAGACATAGAGACAGAAAGCGAGAAATCACCCCCCAGGGGGGATGGTCACGCCGCAATCCCTTCTCCTCCATTCTCCTCTCGGATCTTGGGCACGCGCGCGCCCGCCGTGAGTTTTAAGCCACCAGGTCCGGGACGCGAACCGCGGTCGACTACGTGGGAGTCCAGCGACATAGCCATGACGCTAACTGCTGGTTCCCCCGCACCCTATAGCTTTTAAGAAGTAAATGTTTTCAAAAGATGCTGAATCTGGTGTGGGGAAGAGCACAGAGGGGCACAGCGGCCCCTGCGCTGGTGGCTGGTGCAGTGCTCTTCAGAAAGCAGTTACCTCTCCAGGGCCAAGGTGTCGGGTGAAATATACAGACCGGGGTCAGGCCAGCTCACGAGGCCCGATGGCCTCAGCAGACCTTTTGGTGGAGTGGGCACTCAGCCACTGGCCATATCTTAATGAGATAATGTATGCGAGAGCACTTTGCCAAAGAGAAAACTCCATCCAGATAGGTGAATCCCGGGCTTCTTCTAGAGAATAGAGGCTCTCAGCGCACATTCCATTAAGGAATTTCACACTCTCTCTCCTCCTCCAAGCCCTCTCCTTTCCTCCCTCTCCTGAACAAAAATATATTTAGTAACCCTATCTAGATCCTCTTCTTCCCCTTAATTTGACTGAGGAGCGAGGGGAACACGGGATGAAGTGGGGGCGGAGGAGAGGGGGCGGTTGAGCTGCAGGGAAGATTAGAGGAGCTGAATGTGTATCTCGGCCGAGTGATGACTGAGTGCAGACAGGACAAAGGCCTCCTGGTACTTAGTACAGAGGACAGAGGGAGGAGACACGGTTTATCAGGGACCACGCTTCTCTGGGAGAAGGAGAACCAAAATGGGGGGAGGTGTCGAGCTTCAAGGATTAACGGAGAGAATGAGGAACATTTCCTACTGGAGTCGCCGGCTTCTTTCAAGTCAGTTCTGTCTTTCTGGAACTGCAGGGTCGCCTGAGCCTTAAGAAGTTCCAAGAGGCTACATGTGTTGAACTTCATGTATTAGGTACTTGCACAGATAGAGAGACAGAGGGAGAGGGAGAACACACCTCCCATGGGGCATGGTCACGCTGCAACCCCTTCTCCTCCAGCTCCCTCCTTTCAGGATGTTTGAACACGTGCATGGTATATTTTTCAAGCTGCCAGAACTGCGACTCAAACCAAGTGGTCAGCCATGAGGGATCTGGCTGCCTTCACTACCAGGCCATGGAGCCGGGGCCAACTAACTTATTCTTACAAGGTAAATGATTGATATTACCCATGGGGCTCAGAGAGATTATTTTGCCCAGAAGAATTCAGCAGCTGGCATGGGGAAACCGGGGCCCTGTCCAGTTCTGCCTGGCAACTATCACGCATAAGAAAATAAGAGCAGCCAGTCCTGCTTCAGGGGCTCCCGTGGCTGGCACTGCCATGTGCCCTACAAAGATGTTATTCCATTTCATCCTCGCAGCACCCCTATGAGGTAGAAACTATTATTATTGAATTCACAAAGCACGAATACATTAGGTATTGTGATTAATGGCCAATTAAGAAAGTCTATGTACTTCTTCCATGAAAAAGAGACAGAGAGATACAGAGGGAGAGACAGGCACTCCCAGCCCGGTACTTATGTGGGAATCCACCCCAGTCTTGGCTGGCTGGGGTCATAGGCGGGTGCTCAGGGAGATCCCGGGATGCAAACCCAGGACCTTTCCCATGTAGGTCCAGCTGTGTTACTGCTGCCACAGCCTGGCCCCAAGCAGACCGTATTCACAGCCCCCTTTTAGCGATGGGGAACCCGAGGCGTAGATAACATTACAGGGAAGTCACAGAGCCGGTAAACGGCCAGAGAGCGGGGAGCGGCAGAGCCTGAGAGAAGGAAGCACTGGGCACGGGGCGTGCGGACGCCGTCTGTTTTATGGGTGTCTCTTCCCAATGGTGTGGCTGCTCCTCAAGGACAGGGACCTCACCTTGTTTATCCTGTATTTCCAGCTCTGAGCACAATGCCTGGAACAAAGGGAATGCCTGCTACAAGAACTAGTGGTGCCTGATAAATCTGGCTGAGCAAGTGGCTCTGCTGGGGGCCAACTTGGTGGGGATTAAGTGAGACATATTTGTCTAGGGATTTCCAAGTCTAAAATGTCATGCTGCTGGGCTTCAGAAAAGACTGTTGGCAATGGGGATCCCTGCAGGAGGCTTCAAAGGTGACCTGGACCTTGACAATGGACAGGCCAGGGAGAGGGCTTCAGGTCCCCTTGTGGGGTTGGATTCACACCAAAGCAACAAAGGCGGAGAGGTGTGGCACTCCCCCCTACACTGTTCCTCCCACAGGGACAACTCCAGGGCATCTCCACTGGGGAAAAAACAGTACAGGAGGTGGAGGGTGGGTGGGTGGGTCAT